TTTAGGTACCTGTGGCAGTAGGAGGAGCTTTGATCATTGATGCCGATACTCCTAGCATTGGCACAGATCCTTGTCGAACCATTTGGAACATCTATGCAGTGAATATCGACGGATCATATACTAATGGACCTATCACACTATCTCGCAACACCAAATCAGCTCTTCAAGGATTGATTTTGGCTCCAAATGGTTTGTTATATTCTATTCTGCTTACATTGATTAGAAGCACCCTTCTAACTATGAGATATTATATTTCAGCTGCCATCTTGGATGGACCTACTGGAAACTTTGCTGGATTGCTGGTTTCTAATAACTACAAGTAAGTGTAAAGTGTTTGTAAAGTGTTCCTAGAAACTCAAGTCTAACGGTGTTCCTTCTTACCAGTTGGCAAACATCCAATGTTAACATTTTAGATTTTACAACTGCGTCCGGCGGCTTGTGTAAATCGTTCCTTGGGTGTGCTCCTAATCAAAATACCACTAGCACTAGCACATTGCCATCTTCATCTGTAAGCGTAACAACGTCATCGGGCTCAGGTAAGCTTGGCAACAGCATGTGTTGTAAACTGAAAACTTCAGAATTATTCGGTCCTCCATAAACTATGCTCATATTATAACATCAATCCGTAGCATCATCTTCGACAGCATCGTCTCCTGCATCATCGTCAGCGACATCGACATCCAGTGTTGCTTCCACTTCAAGCAGTGTTACTGGAGGATCATCAAGTACAGGTATTGAAATGGCTTACACAATCTTTATATCATCGTGAAAAATTATTAATCTTTTTTGGATTTGATAACAAACAGTAACTACATCCTCGGGTGCTTCATCACCTTCGGTGACACAAGTCTGCGATCTGTCAACATCAATTGATCTGCCAAGCCTCCAGCTTTCAGTATTCAATGGTATCTTCCTAAACGACTTTACATCCAGTATCACCGCAGGCTTGTTTGGAAGTGCTGGAAGCTATGGTCCAATTGCCGTTGGAAACAATCTGTATGCACCTGGCTACCTCATTGCAGAGAAGACTAACTTGACTGCATGCACCATCAATGCATCAGGATTTGTTCAACTTGGTCTTGCTGTTGGAGGTAGTATTCTCAATGGTGGAAA